GGGGGGGGGGGGGGGGGGGGGGGGGGGCTAGGCTGTGTCAGACATACGGGATATGATGCGCTTATTCTGCCACTGTGTCTCGATGTCTCTATATTACCCTACGCACCAGGACAGCAAAATGCAGTGTCATTCTATTTAAAGCAAGCCATTTATCATCGGAGAGCCACATAACGCATAGTGAGCCATTTTTAAGTACGTACCGAAGAACGTGAAGCAAATAGCTTTCAGTCGAATGGCAAACTGCTAAAGCTGCGTTAAAAAAAAAATAAATAGACGCTTCATGCTGACAACGGTCTCCAGGCGCTTAACGATGTCGTCGACCCTTCCGACGTGCAGCTCTGTTTTAACGTATCCTCTCACTGTTTATATGGTAGCTACGGCAACGGCATAATCCTGCAGGCTTTGTTCTCCTAAATCAGACTGACCTGCCCCTCCCCCCCCCCTGAGCTGGCCCTTTGCACCCTGCTGCAAAAAACGCTGCAGTGCGACGTTACTAAGAGCCACACGGGTACCAAGGCTCCCAGCAAGGCCATGACAACAATAAACTATTACGTTAATCTTAAACATAACATAATTACAATACAGGAGCTCGCACACAAGAGGTGCCTGCATTTTTGGTCAGGCGGCACAGGAAAGGGCTGCACATGCTGAATAGTGATTTCAGCTAATACTGCAGTAAGCAGTTCTAGAAATCTCTTACACGATTCTAGTTGTCTCGTGATTTCTATGCTCTGTTCATTTCATGCTCATAAAACAGATACACCAAAAAACATGCGGTAAGACTAATTAGCATCTCTAAATCATCCGTAATGCGTGTACGAGCTCTGTGATGGACTCACACCCTGTCCGAGGTGTCTCCTACCTACAATATTTCCTTAAACTATATTATTTTGGAGAATGACTGCACTATTATTCTACATCATTTCGATAATCGGTTTCATAGTTAACTGTGTGTTTCACTTAAGGAGGAGCTGTACAGGAATTTATTACGGTAATCTAAGTAATCAGCTTAGAATGTCAAAAAGATTTCAGGTTTGATGCTTAAACGCAATTTTACTCAGTATCATGTAAAAGAGGAAGCATTACTGACTCTGAAAGTGGCATATAAAATGAACCCCACACACCATCTCCGGGGAATTTAAGTGAGCTTTGTCGTATTCATTAACACGGTTGCTAAGCACTAACGCGCCATTACCTGTGGGGGCAGCGCTGTGCCGCATCCACCAGCTGACCAGCACAAAGGCATTTCTACTCTGACAGAGACAGTAAGTCTAGTAAGAACCAAATCACACTTTTATCTGACTGGAAACGTCCGAAACCTAGCCTGACAACTCCACCCGCTGGTACCTTTATGATACGCTTAATTATTTATCGTTTTAGGCACCTGCTGGGGTGTTGTCATCGTAATGTCTGTTTATTGCAACTGCTGCCTCTAAATGCTCCATACGCGGCAGGGGTTGGGGTTCGAACCTGTAACTTATTTGCTGATGAAAACTCATTTTGACCCCCACGGTTTGCTCAGAAGACCTATCAAAAGGGCAAACTATGAAATTACAATAAAGTGAGAAATGGCCATTAACTTCAATCAATGCCAAACCTTTAAAAGTTAAACACGAGGTGTCAGTGTGTATGAGCAGCTGTATCATGAGAGCACATTCTCACGCTGCCATGTTGAGCACAGACGACAGGGGGCACTGTCGAGCCACAGGCACCCAATTAGCCCTGGTGGCACGTCTAAACATAGGTGGCTGACGCCAGTCGAGCTCCCCCTACCTCAATTGTGTACGTTTGGTCGTGCTTGACCGTCTCCCCGCTGCGCAGTGTCCTTGAGATGGTGAACTCCGCCGGGGGCGCCGGTGTCCCACCCTGGCCACTGCGGGGAGGGTCGGGGTCTCCTTCATCTCCGGTAGGATCGGCCTCCTTGGCCCTGGATCCTTTCTTCTTCCTCCGGGGTCTACTTTGTCCGTCCGCCTGAGCCTTTCTCTGCCTGTATTCGGCCAGCTGTGGGGGACGAGAGAGGAGGAGACGTGGTCAGCCATAAAAATCTGGGCCTGTCTTTCCACGGTACGTTGAAATGCACCCGAATCGACACAAATCTACACGAGGCCCAGAAAATCCCATCGCACTCTACACCTAAGTCTCACTAAGAATTTCTTTTTGAAACGAAACAGGCCCCGTGAACTCCCGGCTTCTTTTAAAAATCGGTAAAACCATTTGCAGGTGACAGATACGCAGGGAAAAACACAAACGTTTCTGTTCAGAAGGTGGGCAAAGAACAGAGGTACCCCCGCACCACGTTGCAGACGCCCATCGCGGGACAGGGCAGTGCAGCAGACAGCCCACTGCCACTGGCAGTCTGATACGCTAGCAGTGTCTTCAGCCTGCGGCCTGCACTAATCTTTAAAGGGGATTAAACTATTAAATGTCTACATATGCCTGTTTGGGTACCCGGACAGCGTGGTCCCGTGTCGGCTTCCCCTGCATCTTCCTCAAAGACTCCCCCATTGACGTAAGCGCAGAGTATTTAAGAAGCTTTGCTCAGAAAAACGCAGTAATCAGAGAAATCACAAGTCCATCATAAGTCGTCTTTTGTCGGAGGTTAAGGTGCCATCTTGGCGAGTGCTGGTCGGAGCGACGCGTGACGTGGCTTCGGGATCAAAGTCGCCAAAATCCACTTATCCGAAAGCTGGTTACTTCAACCCTTTCACTAACATAGACATACAGTTTTGGCTACTTCTAGCTAACCCTAAACTTCCCAGCTACTGAACTACTAGTCTCTATCTTCTCCAACATATCTTTGGTAACAGAATAATCATAGACTGTGTGGGGTTTCAAATAGCAGCAGCTAACTAAACGCTTCCCATTTAAATAACAAAACTCTATTACAGGCGTAAGTGTGACCTCAGTTTTTCATAAGACGCCAAGCCTCGGAACATAGACACCTGTCGCGTCACTAAGACTCCGCAGAGAAACCCGGCTGGATGCCGGTTTACTTATGCAGCTGAGCAGAGGCCTTGTGGAACTGCAGCCATCTAATGCGGCCAGATGACTGATCAGGTAGCAGTGACACCACAAGACCAACAATGGGGTAAGGAGCATTTAAAGGGAGAGAAAGACATTGGGAAATGACAGGAACGTTACTTTGAGATGAGATAACCGCATGATCTAGTTCACCCAAAGTAAGAGTGCACCAGGATGATGATGAGGAAGTGAGTCCTAAACATATTTAGTGCCAACAACAACTCTGAAATAACTCTAATACTAAGGTCTTGTTTAGGATTGGTATACAACCCTATGACCCACATGTTTGGAACAGACCTAGGGTGTTTCTCAATGACAAGGATGCAAAGAATGTACTTGTGTTCTTGGCGAGAGCATTATCGACATGCCTCGTAAGAACAAACTTAGATGCAATGAATCATCGGATTGTTCTTGTTAGTGAGGATCCAACCAATGCATCCTTGATAACTGGGGCTGGCCGAGAACATCATTCGGGGACTTTTACCATCCACCGAATTTCTGTTCTTGAGTATTGGAATTGTACTTTGGTAATGGAACATGACATCAAACAGTTATGCAGGAACACAAGAACGGTCAGGTACGCATCTTGATAAACACCCATAACGTAACGAGATTACATGCAGAAAACTAGAGACTGCGTCGTGTCCATCCTGTGGAAGAGATGCCAAGCTGCCAAAGGACACATTCAGAGCCCCAGCGGGTGTGAGGGGACAGGTCTGACCACTGGGCTGCACCCAGGACGTACAGAAACACAACACTTAACATGGCCGCACGGTAGGTCCAAAAACATGGCAGCGTGACCCGAACGACCCTCTGAAAGGCCTGTGGCGTGTGTATCACCTGTGTAGCCAAAAACGCCTGGGGGGGGGGGGCTCTAATATGTAAGAGATACACCCTCCCACACATTCACTAACCTCCTACTCAGGCAGCACAGGGTCAGGATGAGCCTGCAGCCCATGTAAAAGATACCCCAGGGAGCAAATGGTCAATGCTGAAGTATCACTCTCAAGCCCTGCTATGCATCTGGCATCTCATACCCATGCAATACAAAGCCAAACGAGCTGCCAATGTGAATTCATTCAGTAAACTAGTGACAATTCTTAACAAAGTGCGCCATGCAGTGGTGTGATAAATTAATTTAATTGGGTCTGAATGGGCTTAGTGCCACGAGCACCTCAGAAATGCGTTGGTTTAATGTGGTCATGTGATCATCTTAGAGGGCATTTTCCGAAACCCACTAAACGGGTGAGTTTTCCTCTCACAAATTTCCAAAATTGAATACAGGCCACTTTCTAGTGGGACAAGAGGTAAACTACAAATCAGAGACTGAGGGCATGTCAACCACAACCTAAAGTTTTGTGGCTTTTCAGAAAGAAATGGCCAAAGGTTAGCCGGCAAGTCCCATGTTAGTCAGCATGCTAACAGTTGCCGGGGTCAGAAAATACTGACAGAAGATTCAAACTAGGGGTCAATACAGCAAAAAAAAAAAAAAAGTACCATAGAAGGTCCCATTCACACCCTGGGGACAGGGTGACTGACACAGTCACACAGAGGGTCCCATTCACACCCTGGGGACAGGGTGACTGACACAGTCACACAGAGGGTCCCATTCACACCCTGGGGACAGGGTGACTGATACAGTCACACAGGGGGTCCCATTCACACCCGGCTGGGGACAGGCTGACTGATACAATAACACAGAGGGTCCCATTCACACCCGGCTGGGGACAGGGTGACTGATACAGTCACACAGCGGGTCCCATTCACACCCGGCTGGGGACAGGGTGACTGATATAGTCACACAGAGGGTTCCGTACATATTGGTGACATGGTAACAAATAATCTTTATTACTCCACTATTTTAATTTTATACATACACTATATGGACAAAAGTATTGTAACACCTGGCCATTACACCGACAGGAACTTTTATGACATCCCATTCTAAATCCATACATATCATTATGGAGTTGGTCCCCCCTTTACAGTTATAACAGTTATAACAGCTACCGCTCTTCTGGGAAGGATTTCCACAAGATTTTGGAGAGTGTCTGTGGGAATTTTTGCCAATTTATCTAGAAGAGTATTTGTGAGGTCAGGCACTGATATTGGACGTGAAGACCTGGCTCACAATCTCCGTTTTAGCTCAACCTAAAGGTATTTGATGGGGGTCAAAATGAGGTCAGGGCTCTGTGTGGGCCAGTCCAGTTCTTCCACTGGGGCACAGACATGCTGGAAGAGATAGGGGCTTTTCCCAGACTGTTCCCACAGAGATGGAAGCACACAATTGTCCAAAATGTCTTGGTATTTTGCTGTTTTATTAAATTTTGTCCTTAAATTAATTTTTGGCTTGTACAGTTTTATTGAGGCTTCTACAGGAAGATCGAAAGGTCATCCCATTGTAACTTGTACAGTGACAAAGTTATCTTGTTATCTTGTATCTTTTATGCTAAGCAGGAACTAAGCGGTCTAGCTCAACCCCGGAAAAACAACCCCACACCAGAACCCCTCCTCCACCAAACTTTACACTTGGTACAATGCAGTCAGGCAGGCAATGCTCACGAAGGCATCTGCCAAACCCACACTCGTCCAACAGACTGCCAGACAGAGAAGAGTGATTTGTCACCCTGCAGATCACATTTCCACTGCTCCGGAGTCCAGTGGCACCGCGCTTTACACCACTCCATCCGACACTTGGCATTGCGCTGGGTGATGTGAGGCTGGTCTGCAGCTGCTCGGCCATGGAAGCCCATTCCATGAAGCTCCCGGTGCACAGGTGATGGGTTTTTGTGCCGGGGTTAATGTCAGAGGAAGTGCAGAACTCTGTAGTTACTGAGGCGACACTTACGCACTGCGCGCCTCAGCACTCGGTGACCACGCTCTGATACTTTACACGTTCTGCCACTTCTTGGCTGAGCTTCTGTTGTCCCTAAACACTTCTACTTTGCAATATTACCGCTTACAGTTGACTGTGGAATATCTAGCAGGGAAGAAATTTCAGAAACTGACTTATTGAAGGCGGTGGCATCCTATGACAGCACCACGCTTGAATTCACTGAGCTGGTCAGAATGACCCATTCCTTCACAAATGTTTGTAAACCTGACTGCACGGCTATGTGCTGGATTTTACACACCTGTGGCAATGGGTCTGAATGAAACACCTGAATTCAGTGATTAAGAGGTGTGTCCTAATTCTTTTGTGCATATAGTGCATAACTTCCAGTTGCTTATTCTGATAAGTCATGGGGGGACAGCTCAGGCAACAAGACTGGGTTACATTCTGAACAACATACTAATACTGCAGCAGGGTGCGCACGCACACACACACACACACACACACACACACAGACACAGACACAGACACAGACACAGACACACAGACACACAGACACACAGACACACAGGGGACTGTCCATTCATTTCTATGGGCATAACCCTAATACCAACAGACAACCTAAATATTCACCCTAACCTTAACCATAAGTAACCAAAGTAAATACAAAATTTGTTGGTTATTTTACTTTTTGCATTACATTCACCGACTTTTTATAAAAGGTTCCCCAAGTGGGGGCCCAAAAAAAATGTCCCTCAAGTTTAAAATCAGTGTCCATCACATTGTATAGACAATCACACAATAGATATACGATATCATATAATTGTGAATAAAATACTGCAGCTCAGGGGCTGGCTCACAGCCCCAGGGTGTGTGTGTGTGTGTGTGTGTGTGTGTGTCCTAAAACATAGTCATCCTATCTGAGCAGTATCATTCTTCACACTTCCTACACAGTTTAGAGCAGTTACTGGGGATGGATGGATGGATGGACCGAAGGACAGACAGACGAGTGGGTGACAAGAGGGAAAAAAACAGCAAATGGAAGAGGGTGATTCACAGTATTCATGCATATTTCCACACATTAGCCTACCAAATGAATCAAGAAGAGACACACATATGTCTAATATGAAAACACACCTCATGATTGGCGCACACTGTTTTGAAACGTAATTCTGGGTCAATTTCCTGTTCCCTGCCCTTGGCAGGTAGCTGACGTCTCTTAGCGCAATCGTCAACAATTGTTTAAAGCTCAGCCAGCTCTCATAATGCAAAAATCAGGAAAACTGAGACTAAAAAGATAATAAAAAAAAAAAAGGTCACAGAACAGTGGTGCATTTTCAGAAAGGATAAGCGATGCATCCAGTCCTGTGTACTTTACTTGGCGAATAAAGATTCAGATTCTTATTCTTATTCTTAAAAAGGACGAGTGTTGCATTAATCTGCGATAAGAAAGTGACTGATACATAGTCTTTAAAACACTCCTTCTTTGCAGAGTTACGATTAAGACAAAACCACTGCCGGGTTTATAAAAAAAGAAGAAGAAGAAAAGATTGCATTCAGCAGAGAAAGGTAGGGAATACATCAATTAAACCTTGACCACCCAAAATAAGAAATTCTTAGGAATAAAATACTGAACAAAAATACGAAAGTCCACTGTTCAGCTAATAAGCAAATAAATCAATTTTCCCTGGGGAGTGTGGTGAATCAGTTCTCTAAGGAACAAAGATAATGAAAATTATGAAAATTCAGTACTCCACTTGGCTAAAATTGCCTGCTTTATTTGCATATTCATAACACGTTGTAAATGGTTAAGCATTAATAACAACAATAAGAATTTTCATTCAAAACCCTGGTGAGAATAACACATTTAAACACACAAAATTATCCCACAAAAAGACAAAGAGGGAATGAACTAACTCTTTATGAAAAGCTTACCAGAACAGACATCTGCCTACATACATGAACTGGACAAACAAACGGATGTGGAGGGAGACGAACTTAAAACAAAATCAATCATGGAAAAGTGAGCTCTGAATTTAGGCGTGACACTGATCAGTGGCAAAATCTTTTGGTTAAAACCAGAGGTTTGCAGCCTTTCCCACAACAGGAACCTCCAAATGAAACCAAACCATGGCTTAGGACCCCCTATCACTAGTGTGATCACGTAAACAACTAAGACGGGGGGGGGGGGTTATTGTTTGTATCATACCAATTTAACTTTGTATTTCAGGACAACTGCAAGACAGACATACCAACACCAATGGGTCCCCCGTCTGTGAGCACTGCTCAGACCATAATGTTCAGATTCCTCTAAAAGAATACAATGCCTTTATATAATATACTCATAGAACTTTCTAATTAAAATATAGTCACCTTGCACTCCAGTGTTTAAATCCCCAGATTCCAAAGCAGGGTTCAGTGCATGAGACCATAAGCTTGTAAAGTGATTTAGGGGCAAGTTTACGGAGGTTGGGTCCCCAAATGGGTCCCCTGTGCACCTCAAAGTAACACTGTGTTACCACTAGAAAGGCTTTGGCTCCTTGTGGCTCCTGGGTTATTTTTATAGATATTACTTAAATGTCTGATCTATTTTTAATGCCGTCTCTCAGATAACATTGTTCCGTAATGATACTGCAGGGCTGCTGTTTGTATTACCAGCATCTTGGGCCTGTAATGGATGTGAGAAGATAGTAGGGGAATTAAAAAACTATATAATAATAATAATAACAACAATGAGTCTAATACATCCAGCATGCAACCTAGAGGAGGTGATGGACAAACCATCTTGCATGTAACTCAGTGCATGCAGGTAGGTCATTGAGTTTTCACGCCATGTAAGCAGCTATGGCTATATTCGTGGAAAAGTCTACGTTACGTGTAAAATTTTATAATCATCAACAAACAAACAAACAAACAAACAAAAACCTGAGAAGGGAAAACCTTCAAACACACAGACCCTAATAACGAGATTATCCAAAAATTTATACAATACTAAAGAAAGTGCTTCACTTTGGCTTAAGTTAAAAACTCCTGTCTCTGGTTTAACCTTAATAAAAACATCCTACAAAGCTTGGACTGGGAGATAGATTTGTCTAATAGCATTTAAAAGTGATGATACATAAAAATGTGACTGACAGAGGGCATTGATATGTGCGTACAAAGTGGATTCCTCACCAGTAAGTATAAACATGTGCCGAGCCTGCTATGTCCTTTGTGACACCTGGCGTAAATGATTTGGCCGCAGTGGTTCTTAAAACTGACTGGTGCTCCATTTGTAACAACAGGGTTATTTCATAGAGTTCGTTATTTATGCATTTGTATCATGCACTTTGCCATAGTTTGAGGTCTGATGCTGGTATTAAAAACTTATGTGTCTGAACTGAGTGCCTCCTTAGCGGCTATATCTACTTGTTCATTACCAGGCACACCAAATCACCTGGGATCCGGCACAAACAAATGCTAAAATTCTGTTTTTCAAGGATAGCCAGCTTGAAAAGGGCGATCACGCTAAAGCCACCAGCGAAGGCATGGAGTGGGCGTTTGGGTCTCTTGTAAAAACAGTTTTATGTAACTGACGCAGTGCTTGAAGAGGGCCGGTACTCCCCAGCACGCAGTATGGACATGGAGTATGTTTTTTCCAGAGTACTGGAAACGGGGAGTACTGGCAGCTGTTTTTTCCCCCCACTTCAAGTGCTAAACTCATGACTAAAAAGGAGAACGTAAACGGTGAAGAAGCTACAATAGCAAAGGCATTAGTGAGCGTGCGGACATGTCAGAGGTAGATCCTGCAGTCTGCCCGGCGACCTGCCTCTGTTTGCTCAAGCAGAAGGGCAGGTCTCGGAGATCCTGTCCCGCAGGACTCTCTACATACTTTAACTGCCAGTCTGTAAACCTCCCGGGCCCGATGGCGCTCTGCGGGCCGGCGAATCGGCGCTTTAAACTCCAGTAATGTGGAGATGTTCTGGTATTTGCGACAAATGTTTTCTGAAAGCGTCCAGCAGCTGATACGATTGGGGGCACGGCGAGCAGGCTGTCACACACGGCGCTGCCGAGACAGCCGGGCTACCGCGCCACTGACAGCCGGCTGCAAGCCGATTCCCGGGCGCCGGTGACCGAAACAAAGCTCTCCTACAAGGGGACATGGCATGTACCCGAACAACCAGCAACATCTGTCATTAACTATTCATACCTTCGCTTTACCGGCCTCCAATTTCTTCTGTCTCTCCTCGTCTTCCATAACCGTCGTTCCTGGGCCGAATATATGAAGAGAAGGGCTTCATACGCAGACTCGACGAAAAAAAACAAATTGCTATAATAAATCTACTATACACAAACAGGTAGAAGTTTTATTTGGCGCCTCCATTCATCACACCGTTCAAAAACGTGTGGAGCACTCCTTACAACAGCCGCGACGCAGCCGCCATGTTATCCACGTAAACACGGGACTAGTTGTGATGACGTCATACTACCCCGGGACCACGCCCACGCACACCTCGGGTAATGTAGTCCCGGAGACCTTGCAGGTTAAGGCACGCTGGCGTAACGCTGCTCCCATGCATGTTGCAAGACGGTTAATTACAACCGTTCATTTTCATTTCGATTAAAATGTATTTGTGGCTAGTTTTAAAATGGAAACGATTATGATATCCAGCATCATTATCAAAGAGCTGTTTTTAAATCAAATATTTTACAGTGTAAATTATAAATCAAGATATGAATGCATTGATTAGACATACTCTAAAGTGGGGTGCGTGTTAATTATTGAAGTAGATTAACAAATGCAGTGTTTCGTTGCCCTTGACAGACAATCATAACATTTACCTTTGTGATGGCCTTAAGTAGCCAGGTAACATTTTTCTCTTTCACCAGTTTTGAGCTCTTGGAAGAAGGATGTGGACGGTATACATACCGGCAGGAGATGGTGGCCGGTGTCTTCTCATCACTGGTGCTGTACAGCTTATTGTCTGGCAGATCTTCAGTTCCACCCATCGTCTTTTTGACATCTTTACGAGTTTCCATCCAAAGATGGACAGTCCCTTCTTACACACGGCCCTGCTCTGGACTGCAGAACTACCGGTAAACCTCCTGAAAGTTTGGGTCCTAAATAATTGATGGCCAAGGAGTATTATGTCAGCTAGAGCAGCACAGGGGCTCCTTCGAGGTACATCTGTGCCTTTTGTTGTCATTTAAATTAGGTTCCACTGCTAATTTCTTCGATAACTATATTCATAGTGGAATTTATAACAAAGTTCTGCCATGGGCCTTATTCTTTTAATACAGACCTGGGCTATTTAAAATGCTTTATATTCTATAGAACATTAACAAAGTGACTTTAAAAGTGAAGGAACAATCCCCAGTCAAACAGAAGCCTCTGAAATTAATGAACTTCTCTATTACAGCTATAGGTCTTACAAATCGAAGAACTCATACAATACTACACTAAATCAAAGAAGTTCCTTTGCACAAGAATGGAAATGATCTGTTGATTTTATGTGAACTGCTAGGGATAGATATATTATTTATATATTAAATAATATGAAATTAGGTGTCTTGTGAAGGACTGACGCTCCATAGAGGGTTAATGCCAGTCCAATTCACCCCCCCGCAACCCTAACCAGGATTAAAAGATGTTAGAAGATGGATGGATAGATGGATTTTATATGAAAGTAGATAAACCAATACACATTCCAGATAAATATTGACATAATCCTGTCCATTATTCTTCCCTGAAATACATCTTCTGCATGGTTGGTTTTTAAGCATTTGTTCTGTTAATGGAATTTGAAAATAATATTGAATGCATGTGTTATGTTTGTGTACTTTTATTTTATTTTTAATTCACTGTATTGAATTGTATTCAGTAATTAATATTTTTTAATGTTTCAAATAATAACAGAAATTGATGAAACTGCACACACAATTCATCTGAACAATGATATGCCTTTCAAAAAAGAATAAGCAAACAGTGGATATTTATTTTTGGTCAGACCTTAAGCCTGTGCAGCTTGGATGGATGGCTGACAGCAGAGCGATGAAGGCAGCTGGACACTTGGAGCCCAAGGGATGAAAAAGCACATCAATAAACAATGGTGCTGTTGTGTTGAGAACACTAAGTGGGCGACACTGAAGGCTTTAATTTAATTACAGCAGCCTCGTTGCCAAGAGCCACACTTGGGTGTTACTATGATACAGATCTATAAATCTGAAATCGTATGGTGGTCTTAATGGTATTATGGTACAAGTCAATTATATTAGTCATATGATGTATTATCTTTGTAATACAGAGGGCAAATATTGTTTCAATACATAGCAATGAAATCAGAGTCTGAAAACCCCGACATTTTATCGTAACTTTATAACTTAAACTGCACCATTTCAGTACCACTAACTACGTATACATGAGGGAATACAATGATCTATAGGCTGTCTATGGGACAGGGGGGAAACAAGGTTCTTCCTAAATCGAATGCAGTGACCAGCTGACTCCATGCATATAAATTCACATCGTATCATGAGTTCAAACAAGGTATACAGAAAATCAATGGATGGAGTTATCTTGACTTGTCTGTAATTTTTTTGTGAAAGGTATTATGGAGTAGCTGCATTGGTCATAGACACTGCATCGTGCTTGAAGGGTTCCCTTTAGGTGGCATTAAATATAGAGTATATCACAAAATAGCAACAACCAACAAAAATATTAAGTAATATACACCATGACAAACAATACTGAAATAGACTTCCTGGAGCAGAATAGGGGAACTTCTAATTTCTGGCTTCTAAATAACACACCGAGCTAAATAGCACAGTATACGTATATGGAGTGCATATATAGGCACACGGCTCCATCTAGCGATATAATGTGAAGTACTATATTTTAAAAAACTTGTCACGTTATACGCCTTTTCACAGACGATGTAACTTCTTTTAGTTGAATCCCAAGAGATCAGTGGCACTTTATAAACGCTGGATATAACAGATTCGAATAGATAAATTCAAATCAATATAAAAAAGGCAGCTCTTTTCACTTAGACTGCTGAACAGGTCAATAACTGGCGTTTCATCTTCAGACAGAAGAAACACCTCCAGACGGCAGGGGGCGACATGCAGAAACGCGGACAGGCAAATTGCGTCGATGGTAACTGAAATGAAACAGAACATAATGGTAAGTGGGAAATTCTAAAGAAACGCCGATTTATATTAAATAACATTACAGAAATGTCACGTGGAATACTGCAGACGGTTCGATGTAATCGTGCTTCATCAAAGTCACTTGCTTGTTTTTATTGATTGTTATTTTTTGCACAAAGAACTAAGCGTAGGTACGGAATTCTGAACGGGAATCAGTGCATGCGAACTCGGCTAGTAATGTTTACTCTTTAAAGCCTAATTCGAGCAAAGCGTTAAGGTGCCTAAAGTCAAGATAGATTCGTTCCTCCTTCTGATGCGGGCATACTTACCATTTATTTTCCTTTGACAAATCAAATGCAATCTAATTTCTTCGTAAATATCCAAGGGGCACCGGAGTAAACGCTATCAGAATTTCCAGAGGGGCGTTCCACAAAGCAATATTTCTCAGTTAGCTGGCTTAACTTAAGCTAGAAGTCATGATTGTCCGGTCCGAATGGTCTTTACCTAAACTCTTATTGGACAATCATGACTTAAATCTTAAGTTACCCCAGAAAACTCAGCAGTCTTGCTTTGTGGAACATCTCACAGGATGGCATGGTGACTCAGCGGGTTCAAACCCCAAGATTAGCTGTGCGTATGGAATCTACACGTTCTCCACATGTTCCTCCTGCAGTTCACAGACAATCAGCTGTGCTATCCGGCATTTCTAAATCTAGTTGCGTAAGTGTCAGGGTGCATCACCATGGTTCACTGGGTAGTTCGATTGCCCTGAACCTGCCAGGTTGAGCTTTAAATCCTGCCCCCGTTCTGTTTTTTTCATGTTTGTATGTTATGTCTGTGATTTATAGGTTTACTCCGGGTACTCAAGTTTTCTCCCAAATTCCAAAGACATGTAGTTAGACTATTGGGCATCTCTAAATTTCCCATAGTGTGTCCCACAAAGGAGTAGCATTTCTCCCTGGCCTTGTGTACTATGCCACCCAGGTTACGTTTCAGTCCCCCTCCATTCCATCCGTCCATATTCCATATCTCTGCTTATAATATGGTTAAGATCCACCCTTTCACCAGTGGTGCTTACATTTTTAATCAGTCTCATGCAAGAACAATGTATCACTATGCAATTAATTTTTTTTTTCCCCCTACAGATTTAGGGACCATTTTCATTTAAAGATCATGACTTGTATCTTGACTCTTCTGCATATTACCAGAAGGCCGATATTTTGCAAGCGGACCTGTGTGACATCCCATCTCACTGCACTGCACAGCACGCCCGCTAAGAGTGAGGCGCAGGGACCAGGACATGAGAATGAGTCCTTGTTGGAGAACCTGACAATCCTAGGGGTAGATGTGAGGATGGTTCGTCGGCGGCAGCCCGGTGTCCTGAAGAGGTCTGTCACCAATGAGCATGGGCTGACGCACTTCTTGCAGAGTAAGGGCGCGAGTCGCGAGATGGTGGCCAGCATCATCTCCCGCTTCCCACGGGCCATCACACGTTCTGGGGATCACCTGGAGCAGCGCTGGGAGCTTTGGAGGAGGGTCTTCAAGAGTGATGGCGAGATCGTGAACATCCTGGCCCGCTCTCCCGAATCCTTCTTCCGCTCCAGTGACAACGGCAACCTGAAGAAGAACATCGTCTTCCTTGGCTCTCTGGGACTCAGCTCCAAAGACCTGTACCGCTTGCTGACCACAGCTCCACGTACCTTCTCCAACAGCCTGGAGCTCAACCAGCAGATGGTGGAGCTGCTGAGGGACGTGTGCCTGAGCTTGGGGGGGAAGGATCCGGACCAGTTTGTCAGGGCTATCATCTCTAGGAACTCGTACGTCCTCATCCGAAGCACCAAGCGCATCAAAGGCAACGTCAACTTCCTGCAGGAGACTCTCGGCCTGAGCAGCTCGAAGCTGCTGGAGCTGCTGCAAGGCCAAGGTGCGGAGGTCCTCGACCTCTCCAACGAGTATCTCCTGAACAACTTCAGGGACATACAGCAGAAGCTGCTCTCCCAGGGCTGCAGCCAAGACGAAGTCAAAACTCTGATCATCAAATACCCTCCGGTGCTGTACATTTCTTGGGTGAACCTGAGGAATAAAATAGACTGTCTGCAGGATGGAGGTGTAAATATCAAACAGATAGTACAAAAGCCCAAGGTGTTGGAATTTAGTATTGACAATCTCAAGAGACGCTTAAAAGAACTACAGGAGATAGCCTATGATTTTGAGAAGAATGGCATTGGTATTTTAGACTCCAGTCAACGCCGATTTGATGCTAAGTTATTACGCCTTTCTGGGCAATAGGTAATATAAAATTGGTTTTTATAGTGTATCTCTAAGTTTTTTAAATAAATATATTGCACTCTCCAACTATTGAAGGAATGAGGTCTTTAACTTTTTTGTGTACAGTACAGAGCTAATAAGGACTGATATGTAGTTTAAAACGCGATTTTTATTTTAAATACTTTTCTTCTCTTTAAAATAAAGGATAACGATATGGATTGACTTTCCAAAAATATGTATAAGCTTTTTAGTTGTTTTCAAAATGCATTTGTCATGAGTAACCAGAAGGTGGCAGCAGAGATCACACGACCGACTTACCCAGCTCGTCATGCCGATTCTGTCTTGCTCACATAAGGTGGTCCTTGCTAGAGTAATGCACTTGAGAACCCTGGGATCAGTCTTGGGTCACTAGGGTAGTGTTTACAGTGTTTGAAAGGGAGCAGTTTCCCAAGCGATAAGTGGTCACGTATTCTTACAGACTGAGTTAGTGAGGGAAAATCTCACCCCAAAGTTTTATAGGCTGCTGCCTTAACTCTCTTTCTCAGACATCTGGAACAGCTCATCCAGATCAGAAAATCTAGCAGAACAGCTGAAATATCTCCTGCTTTGTTTTATATGGTGTAGATTTTACAAGTCATTTAGTATCCGGACTATATTTGGAAACTGTTAAACTCTCCTTTCAGGCCGTAGATTTTTCAGGTCTGGGATTTAATCTTTACAGTGCCCACTTGAGAATCTGCCACGTTTTTTGGCCTGTAATGCATTAAAAACAATAATGTAGCTTCTTTCACTGCAGCTTATACAAACCGGATGATCTTGAAACTCAACTGACACTGAAAGTGGGTACTGTCTATTACACC